CCAATTTATTGAGAATGTAATCGATACCGTACGGTTCGATCGATTTACCAGCCCAAGACAGTAGACCGTTTTTATTCAGCTGTTGCTGGTCAAAATCACGTAATTTTTTTTCCACAGCCTCTTTAGATGCTTGCGACAGATCAGTGGCCCGAATTGATTAGTTTACGCCTTCCAACGAATCCTTCAATACACGGAATGAGATTGAGTACAAACCCTTCTTGAATTCGTCGGTGGTTTCTGGGCACCAGGACATTAAAAATAGCTTTCGTTTCTTTGAACTTTCAGATGTGCTTTGACATTGATGCATGTATTCGAAGTCGAAAAGACCATATCTGAAACAGAGAGAAGAACAATAATTAAAAATCAGTAATTTGTCTGAGTATCTATTTCAAATTTGCACTACACAATCACAAACTTAGATGAAAGACACTGTATTTGTCTTGGGTTAGTTCAAATTCTAGTGCATTTATTATCGAATTTAAACCATACTAAACAAAACATTAATATACGAGTCTCATTGCAATGCAGCAAATAATCCATAAATAATAATTATACACGGAGTTGATGAGCTCACGATATTCAATTGCCCGTTTTCATGTGAAATGTTTCTGAAAGCTTGAATGCAAACTCCATCCGAATGGGGAAATGACCACCTTGTTAATTCAAAAACCAGTTTTCTGTGCGAATTTTTTTAAGTTTTTATGCGTCCAGTGTAGAGCATAAAAAGCGGAGGCAAAAAGCCATGCAATAATTCAAATACACACAGAAGAGAATCCCCGGAATTTTTAGGTGTTCGCCGTAAAATTTGACATTTATATAAATATAAATTTCTATGTACATTTTACCGGCAACACTTGAATTTTCCGGGCGATGACATAATTTCAAATATTCCAACAGAAATTAGCGCCATCTGTCATTTCAAGCGGTAAAATATATATAGTATTTGATAAAATGTTCGAAAATATGTCATCGCCCGGAAAATTGAAGTGTTGCCGGTAAAATGTATATAGAAATTTATATATAAATGTCAAATTTTACGGCGAACACCCAAAATTTCCGGGGATTCTTTTCTGTGTGTACATGCACACGCACAGGCACGCACACTCACGCAGGAACTCACAAAGTGCACAATGCACACACACACTATCAGGTGGAAGAGTGTATTCAACACAACACTTACCGGCATTCACCAGTGCCTAAAGGTGTCAACGGACAAGCACCTTGTCTGTCCGTCCGTCCGTTCAGGGCTCTTGAATTTTTTTTGTCCGTCCGTCCGTCCGTTCAGCGCCGCTAAAAATTCCAGCTCCGGTCGGACGGACGGACAAGAAAATTTCTAGCGGCTCTGAACGGACGGGCGGACGGACAGTGAAATTTCTGAGGGTCCTGAACGGACGGACGGACGGACAAGACAATTTCTGAGGGTCCTGAACGGACGGACAAGACAATTTCTGAGGGTCCTGAACGGACGGACGGACGGACAACTAAATTTACAGGGTTCTGAACGGACGGACGGGCGGACAACTAAATTCAGAAGGCTCTGAACGGACGGGCGGACGGGCAAAAATGGACGGACGGACGGACGGACATACAAAATTCTCATACAATATTTTTCACGATTTGAAGAAAAAACTTTTTTTTTCTTGCCATTAACGTCTTATCTGGCAATACGTAATGTATTTTCAGTTATTGATGTGAGTGAAAATTTCAGTAAAAAAATTGTTTTCCAAGTATTCAATAGCAATAAATTGTTGCTTTTTGTAGTAGATAATCTTCTAATTTTGTAAAATGAGACCTGCTGTGAATAAATAAAAATAAAATAGAGAAATGGTAAATGTTTATCGTTTGGAGAATGGTAAACGTTGTTCAACACATAAACATATGTACGTTTTGATATATCAAAATTTGAACTATATTCGATATTTTCGTTCGAATCGTTCGATTTTCTCCCGTGTTTGAAATTTAAAAACCAATTGCTGATACCGATGGTATTTTTGTTATGTATCTTATTGTTCGATTTCTTTATGAAATTCGTGTAAATTTCAATTTGTTCTTATTCGAAAACCATTCAATTGGATAAAATCGTGATCAATTGAATAATCGATGAGAATTTTCGTGTAAATAAAAAAAATTCGATGGAAATTTTTTCGATGATTTTTTTTTTTTAATTTTTTTTTTCTTCAAATCGTGAAAAATATTGAATGAGAATTTTGACCGTCCGCCCGTCCGTTCAGAGCCTTCTGAATTTAGTTGTCCGCCCGTTCGTCCGTTCAGAACCCTGTAAATTTAGTTGTTCGTCCGTCCGTCCGTCCGTCCGTCCGTCCGTCCGTTCAAGACCCTCAGAAATTGTCTTGTCCGTCCGTCCGTCCGTTCAGGACCCTCAGAAATTTTCTTGTCCGTCCGTCCGTTCGTTCAGAGCCCCCAAAAAAATTTCTTGTCCGTCCGTTCAGGACCCTCGGAAATTTTCTTGTCCGTCCGTCCGTCCGTCGGAAAGAAAATTTTTAGCAGGTCTGAACGGACGGACGGACGGACAAAAAAAATTTCAAGAGCCCTGGACGGACGGACGGACGGGCTAAAAAGACGGACAGTCCGTCCGTTTGACACCTTTACGAGTGCCGCCCTTTTGGATGGCTTCTAAAAATTGTTTGTATTCAGCGTTACAACCACCGACCGATTCTACGTCGATTTGATTATAATTCTTAATGTAGAAGATGACATAGCGATGCTTCTTATATTTTTCGATTTCTTCGTACGTGGTTTTGCATGCATTGGAAACAGTCATTACTGCAGTTAATTTTTGGTTATTGTCATCGATGACAGCTTTTAGAGACTGGAGATTAAAATTGTCAAATGTCATTAGCAACGGTAATTTATGTTTGGAGAGTTAAAAAAGATTTTCGTAAAAACTCCAAATCTATAGCAGATTTTATGGTCATTCCTCAATAAACCGAAGGGTTACTTCATTTCAGACTAGAACCTTTTTACTAAAATCCTTTTTAGACATAAATTGAACGCATGAGAATATTCTTGACCTGCGAAAAAAAGTTCGTTCCGAAATGCCTCATACATTCGTATAGCAACAAAAGAGACTCAAGAAAAAAGTGAGCATAAAAGTGTCCCATGATTATGGGGCACTTTTATTCTCACTTTATTCATGGGACTCTTTTATGTAATACAAATGTATGGAGCGTTTTAATTGTGCATTTTGACTTGAGGCTTTTTTATGATAATTTTGATAAAAAGGAATGCGAATTTCGATGTGGCGATAGCACCAATGGGCACAATAAATACTGTATCAAAATCGAAAAAAAAATTAAACTTTTTTTTCGATTTACAGCTGTATTGCGACCGTCTACATGGGAAGTTTGTATGAAAACCTCGGAGCGCCGCTGCTACTGCATTGGCTTCTATGGCCAAATGTACACATAAATAAATAAATAAATACACATGGAAATATCTCGAAAACGGCTGGGTTAATCGGCAAAACGGACCGTGATGTCATTCCCAAAGGGAGTGTAAACACCCGGCTGGTTTGATGGCCTAGAATACAAATCCGGTGGAATTTGGGCTGATCCATGGATTCTCAGGATTCGACCTGATTCTAGCACTTCAATTTCTTTGATAACAAAACATAGGTAGAATGTGTTTACAGATGAACTTAAAAAAGAAAGCACTGGAATCTGACCAAATCCCGAGAATCCATGGATCAGCCGAAATTCTACCGGATTTGTTTTCTAGGCCATCAAACCAGCTGGGTGTTTACACTCCCCTTAGGAGTGACATCACGGTCCGTTTTGCCGATTTACCCAGCCGTTTTCGAGATATTTCCATGTGCAAAAATTTAATAATATTATATTAAATTGCATTGGCCTTTATGAAAAACAATCGAGCGCCGAAATATTATGCTATTTCGCTCACTCTTATATGCATTCAAAATATTCATTAAAAATAACAAAACGTACAAAGAACAAAAACAAAACAAACACAAAATATAAATGATTAGGGAGAATGGGACCAAATGCCTCACTTTTTTTATTACGAAAGTATGATATCAGAAATGTCAACTGTGGCCCACTAATGATATGGTGGAGCCCGAGCCGACCCATGGATAGGTACAAGGCACATCACAAACCAATGGGCCCTCCACAATAGATGAATGGTGTGCAAAGAATCCACCCAAAAAGCGGGCGCCTCGCAATAGACTGAAACTGAAACGGCCTGAGCGATGAGTCTTTGACTCCCTGCAATTATCCAATAATCCCATGACAAAAGAAATAATTGAAATTTTTGCATGCTCCAAATACTATCAGATCTCAATTATCTCGAATCTCATTCGATATATTGTGTTAACATACTACGACGAAGACAAAAACGACTCCCCCTCCCCAGCCGGTCAAGGTCTGGAAACCGGTGGTTTGTTTACGTAAATAATTTGCGATTAATTAATTATGATCCGAACATATGGAAAATTACCAGAAAAATATCAAAAATGATCAGAAGAATATTCAAAATGATCAGAAACTTTTTTTATTAATTTGATCAGAAAAAAATCTAAAATGCTTCTTCCAAAATTGATCAGAAAAAAAAGTACAATGATTAGAAGTATATTTAAAATTATCAGAAACTCTTTTCAAAACTTGATCAGAAAAATATAGAATTTATCAGAAATATATCGGAAATTAACAGAGAATTTTTCGAAATATGATCAGAAACAGTGTTTAAAATAGATACGTTATTTGTATCTAGATATAGATATTGTTCAGGGAACAGAGAGAACACATATTCAGTATTCAATATTATATACACTTCAAAGGTCACAACGCATGAAAGCAGTAAAATTTAAAGTAACATTTTTATAAGTACAATTTGTTGAATCAGCATTATGCTTGGGCGTTGACCACAAATTATTGTATGAACAAACAAATGAATAAACGAACGAATTTAGTTATGTTACAGCAATCGACTGAACTGGTTATAACTCATTTAATGTATTCTTTCTACCGATACAGATATAGATTTTTACAAATTTTCATTTTGTATATAGATATAGATTAGATATACATATATGTATATCTGAAAAATCTATCTAGATTTGAATATATCTAGATATCTATCTCATTTTTCAAAGATTTTTCGATTAAAATAAAAATTCGAAAGTTTAAGAAAAACCGAAAGTGTAAAAACGGAACGTTTTTGTAAACACTCTTCACTGAAGAGCATAGAGTTTGTCAAACTGAACCGGACATTAAGATTCACACAGTTTTTGACACAATTCACCGCAAACCGAAGTGTTTGACAGTTGTCGACGGGTAGTTGTTCTGAATTAGTTGAATACCAAAAAATGTGATGAACGTGAATGTTTTTTCTTCTGCTTCAGACGCTATATTTTGTACACAACGGTACCAAACCAAAGCAACTTCATTAAAAATCACAATATTTCGAAAAATACGTATTATTGAGTGATCGGTCATTTTGGTGAGTGTTATTTCGAAGTAGTATTGGAATAAATATTTCGACAGACAAACAACGCGGCTGTGTCACATCGATATTGATTCAATATTATTGAAAAAGGTGTATGTTTTTTTCTTCTATAGGCACCATATTTCTTTGGAACACGCATTTACAAACACGCAGTGACAAAGCAATTTCGGTAAACAAAACATAAAATTTCGAAATATATCCAATTTCTATTCCTCTCAATTTCGAAAAAATTTCATGAAAAAAAAACTATTTTACGATTCCTTTGAAGGTCGTTATGAAGATTTATGTGAAACCGCATGGCACCTCTATTCTCACCGGATGTACACAGTATTTCGGTAGTTTCGTTGCACGACGAAACCTTATTGATCACGAATGAACGACAGGTAGAATTTGATTTCTCCATCAGCCGCAACCATCGCGTTCTTGCTGTAGTGCGCTACCGAAAGAATGCCAATTCGTTGATAATCAACAACAACTGGTTGTTGACTCAAGACGGTGTGGAAAACAGATCCATTTCGGAGAAAAAATTTGGTGCACTCCCAGAATCTGAACATCGACATCACAGCAAAATCGCTAATGCGAGTCGACTTCAAAGTCCATGAAAGGTCTATTGCTTGTGGTGTTTTTACGGAACGCGACTTGTTGTTTGTGCGCATGAACGGAAATCATGTATTCCCACGAATTTCGGATTTCGTTTCGAAATTCAAAAATCATAAAAATAAATGGTTAATTATAAAAATCTATCTATTTTGTCAGATAGATGCGTCATCATTTTACATCTAGATAGATAGATATTAAGAAATCTACCGTTTGAAAAATACTATCAGATATAGATATAGATATATATCTATCTAATCTATATCTAACTTTTTAGATAGATACGTATCTATTTTAAACACTGATCAGAAAGAAATATATTTTTATCATAAAAATATCCGAAAATGACCAGAGTAAATTCGCATTTTGACCAGAAAACTTAATAGTTTTACCATAAGTTATAACACCTGATTCAAAAGTTACTGCACTAAATCGAAAGCCGAGATACTTAAGCTATAGTGATTTTTCCAAGATATCAATGGTGTAGTAATTTGAATTGACTCATTAGCTATCGAAAATGATATGTCTGGTACATCAATGTCCTGTTGTGTTCAATCTTAGCACAAATTATTTACGTAAACCGGCCACCGGTTTGCAGACCTTGACAGGAGGGGGAGCCGAAAACAACGACGAAGACGACAAACAACATAAAAGTGTCTCACGGATAAACCGTCCCAACTGTCACACGTCGAATTCAAAATTGAATATACAGATCGATAGGGAATGAATGAATAATAATAATTTTGACGAAAGAACAGCGGCCCCTTCTTGAAAATGCAATTTCCTCATACTAGAAATGGTTTGAGGACGAAATATGTTCATATGGAATGTTCAGAACACTCCAGAGAATCAGATGACAGCTTGGGTGGAGTTCCCTCCATCACTATAAAAAAAGGAGGGTCAAAAAGTGGAAAAATAGCGAAAAATGACCAATGTATCCCCAAAATAGGGTCAAACCTCTTTAATCCTCTGAACAAATTACATTTTTGGATTCCTCGTGAAAAATTACTCTTAGGTTCGGGAGATTTCCCATTAAAAAAAATAATATCTTATGTCCTAATTTAAGTTCTGAATGTTAACAAATCGCTCCCCCAAACCTTTCCATGCATTCCGGCCTTGGTTTGGGGCATAAGGGATGATTTTTTTGATCGAAAATGTTCTGAACCTAAAAGTTATTTTTCACGAGGAATCCAAAAATGTAATTTGTTCGAAGGGTGACGGTTTTTTGACCCGATATACAGAAAAAATTAGTATTTTTCAATAAATTTGTATGGGAACCCTCAAAAGGGAGCTCGGAGGTAAAACTGTAAAATATATAGTGCAAACAAAATTAGCTATAGTTGGTCATACATTTGTATGCAAAATTCCAACTCTAAAGGTGAAAAACTGACTCTGTAATATTTGACCCCCGATGGGGGGCGATTTCTGCCAGTTCATTTTCTGGGAGACTGGGTGCGGGGGACCGTTGGGAAAATACATATTCCTACTAATCTGGGTATGGGGAATCCGAATTTTTGGGTCTCAGGTAAAAAAAATGTAACCCTTGAGCAAGAGACTCCTCAAACGCCCAGGAAAAGTGAAAATTGGAATGGCTACCCTAAAATATTCTCCTCGCCATTCTAAACAACTTTGCTACGCATCATTTTTTGATCAGCCTTTTTGTCAATTTTTTTTCATTCCCTATCGATTTGTATATTCAATTTTAAAATCGATGTGTGACAATTGGAACGGTTTACTTGTCAGAATTGTATTTCATTCAAAAAAGAAGTAAAAAATAAATACATACACTATCCATTATGTCCGACCACGACATCAAATCATTAAAGGCACAAGGTGTAGCAGCAAGTGGCTCGGCTTGGGTTCGGGGCTCCTCAGCTTCGCCTCCAAACGATATCGCTTCACGAGGTCTTCGTCGCTTTTCTTCAATTTCGGCGACAATTTCAAGATAAATTTGCTCGCGTTCTCTTCGTTCTTCGGCACTTTCCAAATCTTTGCCATACGATTTTGGTGGGTATCGCATTGCCTTAACACTTTGATTGTGCAGATCCAAGCAGAACGAGATACGTTGATGGAAAGCCAATTGTGGATCACGTGT